TGCATCTCCATCTACTTCCCCTTTACTCTGTGACACCGATCTTAAATAGCTAAAAACTATCATCTTTTGTGAGTTTTTGCCTACCCAAAATAACTACTCTGTCCGGTTTGAAACAGAATATTCCAAATATTCTTTCTCGTCTTTCCTTCACTTTTCTCTCATTTCCTACCAACACCTCATTTGCATACATTAAAGACCTAGAATCTCCCCTTGAAGTTCAGCTGTAATCTGCTGCTGCACCAATGAGAATAAATACGGTGAAGATCAATCACAGAAAACGTAGGTTTCTGACTTTACTGTAGTCTCTACACAAATGATTATGATATTCAAGCCGTAATTAAACCAGTCTCGTTCTTCAAAGAAATACTCTTTAATAATAACACCCAAATGTCAAGTATTTTATTCGATTATTAGTTAATACTCAGGTGTTCTCGGTAAAGTTTTTAACTACGCATACACAAATTTTTGCGTATTCTGATCCATGATCTAATTTGATCTGATCCACATGATTTTGGCCAATTATAACCCAGCTAATGATTGACTTAAAAAAGAGGAAGAAGTGTTAAGACGAAGAGTAGAGGAAACGACGCTAGCTGGATCAGAAATGTTGGCCAAAGCTTATCAAGCTTAAACAGAGTTAACAGAAATGTTCAAGAAAGAGGGTTTTAATGGAAACCATACCTGAGGAACTAAAAAATGTCGATCTAGAAGCGTTACACAAGGAAGATATACATAAAACGTTAAGGATTCACTGGTCACCAGACTGATCAACATTTAAAATCAATATAACCAAAGATAACAAAATAACAAAGAGGCTAGTGGTATCGGAAATAGCAAAAATATATGCCCCATTAGGATGGATTGCTTCAGTGATAATGCAATCCAAAATATTCATACAATATTTGTGACCAAAAAGGATAAGTTGGGACGAAGATTTGGCGAATTCTGATCAGAAACGAAGGAGTATTACTCACAGCTAAAACACCTCGAAGAGATAGTAATATTTAGGTGGAATAATCTAACCAATAAAAGGAAAATATGTATACACGGATTTGCTGCTGCCTCTACGAAAGATTAAGAAGTTGTAATATAAACTAGAAAATTATATCTTGAGGTAAAAACAAGTCTTATGGTAGCCAAAACAAAGGTTGCACCAGATATTATAGAGTGGCCAATATGTTCAATCACAAATTAGTCCATTAAATTGTAATCTCACATTAATTTTAATTTCCTGAATTTATATAGTTTTGTCATCGCTTGCCTAAGTCTATGAACCAATGAGCACGTCGATGAGCACGTCACCCCGCCTTTCTACCTCATAAGAAATTTACGATTGGATGATGGACTTGGAAATGCACATATCAATACGAAATAAAGTGTATAAAAAGCCATAGTTAGTCAAGCCTAGCTTTACTACCGTTCCCACGTAGGGTGTCCTACGTCTGGGGGTTTCCTTCATGGGACTATGCTCCCTGCTTGTCCTGAGACTCTTTTGCTATGACTTTTTCGACTTCAAAATCGAGTTTTATTTAACCATCCTACCAAATTACGATGAAAACGCAGAGGCAACTTCGGATTGACTAACCGAAGCCCTTTATAGATCACCTAGGGAGCTTATATGGAGTTGTTTCCTGTGAAGACACTAACCTCCGTATGGAGACAGTTTCACTGTATACAATCGTGAAACATATCGATTAGTAGCTTAATTACAGCTTGTTTAACTTTCAACTTTGTCAACTTTGTTTTAACTACAAAGCCAACGGTTTTGGTTCTATGCAGAGGGCAATACACTTATTTAATGAAGTTAATACACTTAGCATTTTAGTGAGATTATAAATATAGCTTCGGGACTAGTTTGGGACGCAGTCTATTATAAATTTTTGTCTCAACAACAACTATAGTTTAATAATTCAGTAGCTGTCTATAAAACTATATTTTACTCCACGACTTCAATATTTTATTTTACCATCGTTGACCGAGAAGAATCTAACACAGGAAATTAGAAACAATTCGGAATTATAATTATATATACAAATTTGTCCAGAAGGCTTGGAAAGAAAGAATAAATCTTGGCTGAGAAGTATCAGAAACTGGACCAACTTAGTGTTGAACAGATGTTTTACGTTGCAAAAGATAGGGGAGCGTTTAAAGAAGTGATCGCCAATCTTTATCTGAAGACCAGACAAAGGATGATTAACTGATGGCTAATGATCAGTTTCTGTATTGTTACTTACTATTTAAAGAACATAGAATATTCATTGAACTTTTGTTTCTTGAAATACCCTGTCCAATTCGGGCATTTAGGTTGATTAGTGTTCCATCTCTTGATACTGCTCTTTTTTACACTACTATAGTGCATCACAAATTCTTCATAGTTTCTATACATGTTTCCTTTATTTTTATTCTTTTATCTTATCGCTTAGACAACATATTGTCATAAAATGTACCATTCGCTTTTTCACTCCTTATCTATTGATCCGACTTACATTTTGCATTAATCCCCCAGCTTTCCGTTTGATCATCCAATCTAATTAAAGTTAATTTAAACGTTGCAACATTTTCCCGTCCAGTCTCTATGAAAAATTAATAGACAGCCAACACAGTGAGCAAAAAGAAGAAGAACATATACATAAAGCAAACAAGCGAAGTCCGTCCAATTCCTAACTAACGGGTAACGAATCCTGACATTTATTTGTTTTACAAACGGCTCTATCCTCCGGGATCCACAGCGCCGCTCGCAGTTCAGGCCTCGTTCTCAAATGCTCAAATACTCAAACACACCTGATGATGTCGTTCGCTAGAAAAAACTGCAAATGGTCATCGTTCATTCTTTGTTCTTTCGAATGTTGGAAATTGAATTTATAATCGCTATGGACAGTGGATGCCTTTTCTCGGTTTTTCTCGCTATATTTTTCAGGATATGATTTGCCCGTTTGGATGTTTGCTTTATTCGGACGAGATCTGGACACTAGCACTTTCAAATGTAGGTCGGATGTGACCGTGTCGGGATTAATTGGATTATTTTTTTATTGAAAGAGGTCAAGTGATGTTAAAAGCGCTGTTTGTCCAATATTATTTAATTTTATAACTCAAGAAAACGTCAATATTAGGAAATGCGTTATGTGGATAAGGAAAATGTATTAAATAATTTTATTGTATATAGAAATTTTTGAAACATTTCGTTTTTGTCACACAATAAGTATGAGTAATATAGTAAGAAATCCGCAAATAAACTGGTCTAGAAAATCTTGTTGAACATAGTATAACTCAAAAATGGGGATCTTCTTCTTAGAGAGAGCGCCCACCAAACTGGCATGGCAAGTGGCAAGTAGCATGTTACTCAAAATGTAACCAATGAAAACCAATGATTCAGAGCACACCAAAATGACAGTGACGTCATTCCTTCTAATCATTCGTTTTCATTGGTTAAATTTTAAGTAACATGCTAGACGCGCACTACTTGCTACTTACCACTTGCCATGCCAGTTTGGTGGGCGCTCCCACTTAGGGTGCCTGTCCGTTCCTAACGTTGGCGATCATTCTGACTACAATGACTTCGTTGGTTGCTATACGGAATAGCTATGTTGAGGTCTTTCTATACCATGCTTTCAGTTTACCAAGCCAGGATATTCTTCTTCGTCCTGGGGCTCGTTTTCCTTCAACTTTACGTTGCAAAATGCATTAAAAGAGCTCGTATCTGCCTTGATTTCTCATTATATGTCCCAAATACTGCAGCTTACGACTCTTCACGATGTTGACAAAATCCGCAGTTGTATTCATTCTCTGCGGTACTTTTTTATTGGTGACTTTGTCTATCCATGGTATCTTCAGAATGCTTCTGTATAACCATAGCGTAAAAGCCTTAAGTTTTGATAGAGTTTCCGCGTTCAATGTCCCCGTTTGTACTCCGTAGAGAAGCACTGGAGATAAACAAAAATTATACAATAGCTGATGAGTGAAAGTTCAAACATTAATAATAAAGCATTTGTTGTAATCTCCTCTCTGTTTAGCATTACAATCATATTACAGCATTTTATATTAGTTTTATCATTAAATATATGTCAACTCGGCTGTTATCAAGGAAGGATCATGGAAGGATTATCAAGGAAGGATTCGACTGACCAGCAGTCGAAAATGTTAAAAGCTTTTTCAAGGTCAATAAAAAATAGAATTATACCACTTCACTTTCTCTATATGTATTTTTATTATATCGCATCTTCGCTAAAAAAGAGTCACAACTCAAAAATCACCATTATTGAGATAACCATGCTACAAATATTAAAATAAGTCGTACTTTCTTCCATAAAAGCGTCACTCTTATATTTGAACTATTTACTGCGAGATGGCGATGTTTTTTACAGGTTAGCTCAGCATGCATTCCGCTACAATGTCACCTTTAACTTTATAACAGTCCACACGTAGTGCTTAATCCTGAAAAGAGTCACATTTAGAATTGTAACAGTTTTTGTGTGAATTATTAGTTTTATAACTGATTATTAAAATAATTAAAATACTGTTCTTTTTTGTGTTGTGACAGTTTTTTCGAAGTTGTAAACTAGGAAAGTACTTTTGCATGGTGTGGAAGAGTATAACTTTTTGAGTTTTTAACCACTTTATTTAATATGTAAGTATATTTTTTCAAATTATTTTTGGAATATGACTATTTTGCAGAACCGGCAAATACGATTTTCAAATCCACTGACGTTTCTTTTTTAATTATGACGCTTTCTTAGAGTTATTGACTGTTACTTTCTTGTTTATAACTGTATGATATCCTTCCTTGTTTTTATTTATTATTATTATTGTTGCAGCAAACAGGCTGGTTTCATAACATGCAAAGGTCATTGAGTTCAAGGATAAGCAGATTTATAGCCCTTGCAAAGAAAATAAAATCAGAGCGTTAAGCACCAGATCAAGTGCGAAACTCAGATCTGATATTGAATAATAAAAAAATACCAAAGCTTTTATTTTAGCTACAATAATGTTTTTTTCTTTTTCAGAAATCTCAGAAAGACATCTTTTAGAAGAGGAAAATGCGGCACTTGTTTCTTATGATAATGCAAACTATGTTGTAGCTACGGATAACGATAATAATAAGCCTGGTACATCATTATTACGGGTTGACCTATCACCAGAACGGAAAGACGAACTCCAAATCTCGGACTTTGTAAACGATAATGATGATGATTCTATAAAAGATCCAAACTATGAATCAGATTCGAGTAGCTCTAGTTCGTCCTCCTCTTCTACATCAAGTGATAGTTCTAGCTCAAGCAGTAGTTATAGTCCAGATTGCAATGGTTTCTTGTCGAATTCACACAATGTAAGCCAGGTATTTGACCCTTCGCTTGATTTTCAAGCAGTAAATACTCCAGCAGCAAGTATTCAAGTAAACCCTCTAGCAGCAAACTTACAAGGATCAGGACCTGAAGTACCAGATACTCAACTAGCAGACAGCCAACCAGCAAACACTTATCCAGCAGACACCAAAATTGCCAGTCCTAAAAAAAGAGGGAAAAAGTGAGTAGCAGTGGCAGAAAACTGGTTAAGTAACAAAGCCAAGAAATTACGAAACTCTGGCCAAGCATATACCTCAAGATCTGAATCACAAAAACCTATTGTTGTCAGGAGTATCAGACACAGGGATTTCATTCACAAATGCATGAAACCAGTCATACCAGCGTACAGATACAGCAGTGCAGAGAGGCCTAGACAACATAATAATGCATACTATTTTCATATAAATAATAATGACCAAAAAGAGAAATCATACGATTTCTACCTGGCGAAATCGAATTCAAATCTTAACCACTGTGTTTACTAAAACTTGTAAAGCAAACAGCTTGATAAATTACGGTCATGGTCAAAATTCGTAGTGAATTCAATTTCTGGTACTCGAAACGGAGTAAAGAAATAAAACATAATGACGGTACTAGATTTTGGTTCGATACAGAGCAGCGACAAGCCACTTATAACGTATTTCGACCTCTTTAGGTGTCCTCAGAGCGGTATAACCACTACTTCGTATCGAAACAAAATCTATTCCCGTCGTAGATAATAGTTATCATAATTCAAAACAACAAGGTGCCATATATACAAATAAGGTAAATGCGGATTTAAAGTTTGAGTACCAAGTATTTATTAAAAATATAATTGATAATATTGATATCCTCCTGAATGCGCCATGTTTTTACCATTATTTCTATTCCTTATTATATCTGGACGATCTACATCTATTTTACAAAGAGATTTACTTCTATAGTGTGTATTATTTTTTTCATGGAACTCAATTTCGGTAATCAGATAAAAATATCCATATTCCTCCTCAAATTCTCGACAAAAAACAATCTTGAGATCGCTAACTCAATATTAAGAAGTTATTCGAAGAAGGAGACAACTCGTTGCGCTTATTGTGTTATTCAAATTTTATATTCTAGCTTGAAATTATTGTCTCCCTTATTCCATTCTTTGTTTTGTGATTTGTACTGCAATTTCCCCAGACACTGGATGAACGCCCCGAAAAGGCGACGTTGTCGCGAAAATTGGAAATGAAAAAGGGAAACTTCATTAAACATGATAAAAATACTTATTTTGCCGAAAAAAAAAAGTTGGGTGTCTGCCTCTCGACCAATCCGGCCTGGTTTTATTTTTATTGTATTGTTTTTCATGAAAAATTATTACAATTAGTCTGCGATTTTTTAAAAAGGTCTGGAAGACACTGCTGTAGGCAAGGATTGTAATATGCAAAAAATGTTCTTTATTTCGTTAGCTGAGTAAAAAATTGTTTTCAGTGAAAAATATTTCATTAAACATTCAATAGAGTTTAATCCTTCTGTTATCCTTTCTAGTATCCCACTGACTGTATTTCGAGCCTATTTTTGTGCAGCATTTCACTTAAAACATCACCTGTACAGTACACGATGTTATGCTACTTTAAATTCTTTCTATTTGCAACTTAATATCCTTTATTTTTGGGTACACATATTTTAACAATTTATACGGTTGTGTAGGCGAGAAAAATCCCGTCACGGTCTTATCAGAAGCCAAACACTCTGACACGGTGCATTTCGCACTCGTTTCGAAAACATCCGTCTCCATTACCATTTATTCTGCTTAAACTCGAATGCCACGATTGTATTTTCTGTGATCAGCCTCAAGAAATACCGAGTAAACATTTTAGCGAATAAAATACTTTTATAAATAAACAAAACTTTGGCAAGTACGGTTTTCTACTTTAACAATTACATTTTCGTGCAAATCTTGATTTTATAGACACATATCTTCTCTTTACATTCGTGCTTTCGATTAAGGAATAATTTTCTTATCGGTTCAGTTAGAATTTTTGTTGAACGTAATCGTAAACCAATTATTTATGAACTTGTCTGCAGGTGGATGTTTCCAAACTTGTCTGGTTCTAAAAAGTGCCTTCTCTTCTTCATGTGCCTTGTCCGTTCCGAACGTTGGCAATTAACATGGCTATTCTGACTTTGTTTACGGCAGATCTGGGGGGTGGGCGCTAATTTTTTTATTATCTTCTGAATTGAAAATATTTTCCTACGTCATAGTAAATATACTGAGTGAAATTTTAAAATTCTTTTTATTACTTCTCTGCCAATTTTAATTGATTTTTAACATTAGTCAAAATTTATGATATTTATTTAAATTGTGTAAACTCGTGACTATTTTCAGATTTTTGTTTTGATATGGAACACTCTAAATCGTATACATGGCAACATGACCTTACAAGACACATTTTTAACTTATTTATTACTGACAGCGCCCAATAATTTGTCTAATATCCGGCGACACGCAATACCAAGTGTTAATGTTATATTAAAAATTTTAACGACCTACCACTAGAGTTGTTTGTAACCGGATATTTATACCTTCTCGGAACATATGGATCATTTAATCGAATCATTCATTGGATCATTCTAACTGAATCACTAAATTAGATCTGTCGATGAAACAAAAGCTACATCTCTGTATCGGTATTTTTACTCTATATGGCATTATCAATTATTATTTTCTGGAATGATTATTAAAGGATTGATGAAACGATTCAAATCAACAAAAAGTTTCCTTTTATTAAAAGTTATCAAATATTTGTGACAAAGTAAACACAGTCACAGTAAAGAAATAATACTGTTAGGAGACCTAAATGCCAGAGTAGGTTTTCAAATAGATGATGACGTGGTGGGAGGGCACGGAGAAATAGTTAAAAGTGGTTCCGGGGACAGCTTTATTGAGTTCTGTCAACATTTTGGTTTAAAAATAATGAATACCCAATTCCAACATAAAGATATTCATAATTACACTTAGGAATAACCGTCACTACAACAGAAGTCGATCATAGACTATATAATATTGAGACCTAAATCAAAATTTAAGTGCCAAGACTGCAGAGTAAAAAGAGAATCTAACTGTGGGGCAGACCACTACTTTCTTTTGGCTAATCTTTTGCGTCCCTTTAAACAATACTACAAGCAGAACACCGAAAGTGAGAGAAACAATACTACATAGTACAAAACGGAGAGATATAAATTGCACCTTTTATTCCAACCAAGTATTAAACATCTTTTTCAATCTAGATTAGAAAAGGAACTAAGTGAGATGGAAAGAAATATGGATGTAGAAAAAGAATAAAACAGCCTCAAAACGATAATAAACAATATTGCTTATGAAGTATTAGGAACAGAGAAAAACGACAAAAAACACCACGAACCACAATGGATGATAGAAAATGTAAAAGAAATGATACAACAAGAAAAAAACAAAAATATACAAGAAATGGCTAACAAATACAACATATACATACAATAGAATAACAAATAAAGCATATACAATAGAATAACATATCAAAGGAAAAACGGAAAAGTACGCAATCAAATAAAAGAAGCAAAAAACAATTTTTGGGAACAAAAATGTCTCCAATTGGTGGTTCTCAGACTACGGAAGCATGGCGAACTATCACTAACTAAGAGACACTAACTAAGAAAAACACCCATAACTCCTTAAGCAACTTAATTCCTATAGAAAAGTGGAAAAATCACTATAAAAATTTACTCCAGATTCCAGATTGGAATATATGGGAGAGGAATACAGTATGGAAAGAAAAACAAATAGTAACATTAATACTACTAACAACGAGGTCCATACTGCGGTAATTAAAATAAAAAACGGGCTATCTCCAGGACCTGGCAATATAGCTGTAGAGTTACTTAAAGCAGAAGTTCCACTCCTAAAAGAACGAATAACTGTTCTAATGAATCAATGCTACAATGCAATGCAATGCCAATAAATTAAAGTACCATCTGAATGGAAAACCGCTCACCCAGTGTCCATCTTTAAAAAGGGCAATTCAAAAGATCCTAAATGCTACAGAGTGGTAGGTAGTGTTCTACCTACTTTCGAGAGATTGTTTGGAAAAAGATAATAAATGGAAAAATACAAGATGATGTAGGACATCTAATAAGCGAAGACCAAAGTGTATTTACGCCTGGTAAGTCTTGCACTGATAAGTACATCTAGCTTTCATCGACATTGTATATGTTTTCATATTTATACATTTGCGATTAAATCAATATAAACGTTCTCAAAGTGCCCAACAATAAGTAATAAGTGAAGTACAGTGCCCAATAATAAGTGAAACAAAGGAGGACACTGTTTCCATGTTCCCGTCTTAAGATTTTGTCTTCACCACGTAGTTTCATTTGCCGAATGTTATGAAAGATCATAAAAATACTTTGGACATGTAACGAGAGCAGACACATCCATAATGGAAAGACTTATTACGCAAGAAAAGGTAGAAGAAAGAAGGTCACGAGGAAGATCCTCAACAAGATAGATCGACCAAATTACAGGAACATATAAAAGACCTATTACACTCCATCCAGCGGGATAGGACTCAGCAGTGAAAGAAAGATGAAAGTTCAATGTGGTTATTCTTTTTTTTTCTATCTTCCTTAAGCTTTTATTAAAAACAAAGTTTCTTCTTCTAGGGATTCACCATAGTATTTTCTTGATTTATGTCCCATCAAGTAAGCTTTTTTGACATAAACTCAATAGTGATCATAAGAGAAGGCAATAGCGAAACAATCCAGAGAGAAGTTAAAAGACAAAAAATTTAGTAGCTGATAGTGGGGGAAATAAAAAATCTAAAAAAATTAGTCTCGAAAAATGATAAACAGATGTCTGCTAAGAGCGTATATAACCGAAATTTATTATTAAGTACCTTCCAAGATTCCATTTCCCTTACTAAATCTCTAAAGGCACTAATACAGACAAAAATAGTCCAATATGATGTGTCAAATTGAACTACATTCTTTATTGTACATTCAATGTCTCAGCCTAACTGCCACTGTTTCTTATTTAACGCATATTTGATTGAATTTTATTAACCGAATCATTTTAAGAAACCGTTATCGAAGTTCACTTTTATTCACGAGCCGCCCACCTCTATTCGTCGAGCTTCAGTGATGGTTTAACACTGACGTGCCAAAAGGCACTTACAGCTAAGAAAGT